GTCTATTTGTAAATACATTTTTTTTTTCTTTTTAAATAATAATAATAACATGATATGAAGTATACTTTTTATATCTACACTATTTTTATATTTCAATTAATTTTTTAAAACAATAAACCAAAAACTGGATAATAAAAAAAAAACTGTTTTCACTATTCTGTTGTCAGTTTTTCAATATTATTATGATTTTAAAAAGTTTAACTAATTTTTTATTCATTACATGACATATATCTTATGATTTTAAAAAAACAAAACATCAAAAAAAAAAAAAGAATACCACTACGATTCCAAATTAATCTAAGCAATTTTTTTAAAGAGAGATAGAGAGTCCTTAGCTTACCATTATTCATATTATCCTCTCCGTGTTTTAATAAGTGTTACATTTACCACATGCAGCCGAGTTTTAATAAGTACTACTCACTCCGTGTTTTAATAAGTGTTACAATTTGACCGCCACCACATAGTTTTAGGCAATTTAATTGACTTAGATAAAATAAGAGGTAAGTGGGGTAAATGAAATATTAAAAAATTATAAAAGATAAAGAGTGGGTTAATAGTTTATTGAAAGTAATGAATGTGAGATGAAAAATATACTATAAAAGTAGTAGTGGGTTTGGGTGGGGACCATGAGAGGAGAGAGATATAATATTTAAGTGTAGTTTTTTTGCCAAAAAAGAAAGTGTAACTGTAGACACCCATTTGTGTCTCCCCAAAACCAAATCCAGTGATAAATACCTTTCGCGTCGAATCATAATCGAATGAAGGGAAAGTGTGGAAAATCTAGTGTTGCGGATAGTTTTTATTTCTTTTCTTTCTCTCTGCTTTTGAAAACCAATTTTAAGAAAACAACCAATCCAGTTTGTTTTGGTCCATGGCAAGGGTCCAATAATAGTGTAGTTGGGTCGGGTTCGAAATGATCTTTCCAATGATATATTATAAGCCCAATTCCGATGAATAATGAGGAAGTTATGGCCAAATTACTAAACTGGGCTCGGTTTGATGTTTATATGCGGCCCAATGATCTAGAGGAGGGCCTAATATTGATTTATCATTCCTAATGCAATTAGAATTGATTATAGTCTTCTAGATTCTCTAGAAAGTTCTTTTCATTCCTAATTTAATTAGCATTGATAAATTGACTTTAGCTGACTTTTTAGAGTTTTAATCAGAATAAAAGAAGTGTTTTTAAAGAAAATACGATTTTGCCCTTTTGTACGGCTAAATTTTATCAAATAAAGAAAACGCGTGGAAGCTGTTTTCTAGCGTCTGACGACAGGACCAGCGCCAGGCGCCAGAATTGGCGTCTGGTGCTAGCATTGGCGTTTGGCGCTAAGTCGTTTTATTCTCTTTGAAACTCTGATTCGTTTTTTTATCCATCCGGCTGATTTTCTCTATAAATAGCCTCCTAAAACCTCCGTTTTTAATCAACAACAACAATTAATTCTCTCTAATTCTAATTCTCCAACTCTCTTCAAGATTCTCTTGATTACTCTCTCTCTCTCTTTTCTAAAATAGCTTTTGCATACGATATTCCGCATTCACAAGATCTAGACACACCTAGCCAAGTTCGAAGTTGCCTTCGCCCTAGACGTGAAAGGTTTTAATTTCTGAGGGTTTGGTCCCAAATTTCTCTTTCAATTATTTAATTGTTTGTTTTATTATTTTCTTTGAAGTTACTAACGCATGTATTTTGTTATTAGAAAGAGATACGAAGCATCCAAGTAAGTACTTTAATTGATTTATTGATATTATGATATAGAAATCATGTCTAGGTTGTTATTATGATTCCTAGTGTCATGTTAGGGCGTTTTGATCTTCCTAATATCATGTTTAGGGTAACAACAATAATTTCTAATATCAAAGATGATAATTGTGATTCCTGCGATGCTTCCTATTCTTTCCTAATATTTATGATTGTTAGTATCATGTTAGGGTTAAAGATTTGATTTTTATTGTTTAGTGACATGCTAGGGTTTGTTATTAATTTTGTCAGTATCATGCCTAGGATCTTGCTATTATTATGCTTTAACATGATTATGATAATTATGATTATTTTATTATGATTATTATTATGTTGCTTGATATATATTTATTGTTATTGCTTGATCACGCCTTTTATGCATGTTTAAAGGGAATTTGTACTTGTAATCACGTTTAATAAGATAATTAATAATCTTGTTTAGGGTTAATATGATTATAATTCAAGTGATCGCCAATAATAGTTTTGTTTGTGCATAATCAACCAACATAGATAAACAGGTTTAGGGTAAACCTATTGATTGCATGTTAGTCAGAAAGCGCACATGAATACGATCAAAATAAAGTAGAGGCCTATTATTAGGGCAGGTTCAATCTCTTTTAGGTTGGATTTGTACCTTTATCCCCGAACTACCGGTCATGGTTCCAGACCTATTGGAGTTGACGATGTCCTGGATCGTTAAGGGGTGTAACCTTCACCTCGTGAACGGTTTACAAGTTCCTAAAACTTGTTGGTGACTCTTTTGCTCTATCTTCTTTCCCTTTGGATGCCACCGTAATTTAGTGTATGATCACAGTGGGGTTCAAGTTTGGGGTAATGATCGAAATATTCCCCACAGTAACACTTATTCAAACACGATCGGATTTGATAAGTGTAACAATTATTAAAAAAAAACACGGAAGGAGTACATTTCTTTTCTTTTTTATTTTATTACAAAAAAACTACATTTTAATATTATACTAACTTAAGGCCCGTGCCAGACATGGTAACTCTAATTTTTTTTATAAAGAAAATTAATTATGTCCGACAAATAAAATTTGATAAAACATACAAATCAAATATATAGAAATTATAATGTCATAATATATATAAATAGGCAAAGCAAAAAATTATCTAAAAAAGGGATTTTTTTTTTAGTCTGTCCGAACTCGAGAATTTTTCAGGTGTGGCTTGATCAGGCTTAGTGATCATATTAGTGAATATTTATTTATAAATGCATTTTTAATAAACATCAAAAGGTTAAAAAGGGAAGGGGAGTTTTTGAGGGAAAAAACAACACCATGATGTGCCACGTATCACTCCCGGCGTCAGTTTTAGTATTAAGTTATTGATTCAGGCGGTGTTTGATCAGGCCTAGTGGCCATATTAGTAAATACTTATTTATAAATGCATTTTTAATAAACATCAAAAGGTTAAAAAGGGAAGGGGAGTTTTGGAGGGAAAAAACAGCACTAGGATGTGATATGTATCACTCTGGGTGTCTGTTTTAGTATTAAGTTATTGATTATTGATTGATGGCAAAATATAATAATACTCCATTTTTTAAAATATAGTTAAAAAGGAGTTGAGATTTTTTTTTTTGAAAGAAATTGAAATAATTATTTAGGTAAATGTATATATATTGAATGATTATGAACACCAAATAAAAAGGAATATATAGTTGTCATAAAGATAATATAATAGATTTGAAATGATATTATTATAGAATAAAATATTAACAAAACAAAAATGGTTAAAAAGGAAAGAGGAGTTTTGGAGGGAAAAAATACACCAAGATGAGACACGTGTCACTCTCGGTGTCTGTTTTAGTATTAAGGCCCTGTTCACTTTACCTTAAAAAAAATATTAAGTAAAAATAATTTCATTTCAGTAAAAATAAGTTTAGTTTAGTAAAATTAATTTCAGTTCAGTAAAAATAATTTCAGTTCAGTAAAAATAAGTTTAGTTCAGTAAAATTCAGTTTTCTTAAAGAAGAATTATAATAGAAAATCAGTAAAAATAATTTCAGTACAACAAAAATAATTTTAGTTCAGTAAAAATAGTTTAAGTTCAACAAATCTATTAACTAATACTAAAACAAAACATTGCTGACATCATTTCTTCTCAAAATTGCATAAGTGTTGCTTTCTTATGAAATATTTTCCCGCCTAAAACTATTGATGATGTCATTATTTATTTGTGATACTTTTAATTTTGATTTTTTTTGTGATATTTCATAAACAAGCTAAGTAAATGCTTTCAACAACTTCTATCAAAAAAAAAAAACATTAATCTAGAAAATCAGAGTATAGTAAATTCTTTATACCTATCTTTTGATTTAAAGATCTATTCTTTATACCCTTCTTTTGATTTAAAGATCTACTTTGTATTATTTCCTCTCTTCAATTCCTTATCACTAATATTCAAATGTCCAAAAAATTCATGAAATATTTAAACTACTATGTATAGTCATATAGTCATTTCAAGAAATCTCCTTTCAATGATCGAGTTTATATCAAAATTGAAAAGATTAATTTTATATACAAGTGCTACATTACATTTAAGTGTTAAAACCGTGCATTGCACGGGGATAATCTAGTATAATTTTATTTCAGTAAAAAAAATTTTAGTTCAGCAAAAATAATTTCAGTTCAGTAAAATTAATTTAAGTTATTGATTTTTCTCATATCATGATCCCCACCTAAACCATTGCTTTTTTTTTTTTTTCGTGTTTCATTCCTCTCACATTCACTCCTTTAATTTTTAATATACTATTTGTCTCACTATTTTTGTACAATATTTTTAATATTCTAACAACCCGTCACCTCTTATTTTATTTAAGTTATTGCTTAAAACTATGTGTTAGTTAAAATGTAACACTTATTAAAATACGGAGAGAATAGGTTTTGTTAAAATGTATAAACACTTTTCAAGGCAAAATCACTAATTGAATTGACATTTTATTGTTCAGTGGTTACTTGACAAAATCTCAATGAGTTAGTAGATTTAATTTGCCCTTCATCAAATTACCAATCCATTATACGGTATTACCTTTCATGAAACCACTAGTTCATTTTGTGGTTTTACCTATAACGAAACCATCAATTTAATCAGATTTCTGCCTTTTGCACTTTACAACTATTAGTGAATTGATCAAAGTGAATTGGGTAGCTTAGACGAGACTTAAGGTTAAAATAAGCCAGAGTTGCTATTTCAATGCTCAAATTTCATAACATAAGTTGCAAATGATATACACATAGAATTCCAAACCTACCATTATATTCAAAACCTTTCATCATACATAGTAACAGCTAGTAAATCTTTACAAGCTTGCATTACAAATACAAGATGATTGATTAGCCACGGTCACAATTCAGATACCGTCGAAATTCCAATTTTGCCCACCTCTCATTATATTTTTTTTTTTTTTTGGTGTTTAGAGACTATAAGAACGGATGATGAGTATCGATCTCAGAATCACATGAGACCAACAAGAGAAAATCTCTAACCACTCGATCCATCCCTCACGCTCACCTCCATAAAATATCAAGCATAAAACTTCCAATTTTTTTTTAATATACTTATATTCTTGTAAATGGGAGAGGAAAAAAAAGGAAAGAAAAAAAAAAAATACAAAACTCGTCGTTTTGTGGTAAATATCCCTTACAACGCAGCGATTTTCTCGGATTTGGAAGAAGAGACAGGTGTAGGGTGAGATGAAGAAGAATTGGATTCTTTAGGAGTGCATTTCTCTTTCCTCTCATCTTGTGTCATTTGCTGTTGCCGGCACTCTAAACTGCAAAATGCACTATCTCCTCTGCAAAATTATTTAAAAAAAAAAAAAATAATAAAATAAGTCAAAATTATTATACTCTAAAAAATAAAGAGACAGCAAAAATAAATTAAAGAAAATTCAATTACTTAAGATTTGATTCTTTTTAAGATTCACTCAAAGGTGGCAATTAGTGAAAACTAAGTTATGCCAATTTGCTCACCTAAATTAACTCTTACTTCAATTACATGAATACAATAATGATAGTTATGTACTTATATATGTTACCTTTGCAACTATAATATAATCTACAATCCTCCCCTTACTAAGGTATTACTCTTTTATAATCGGACACTAATATTCAAATTTACATGGTATATTCCATGGCACTTGAATTGTTTGCTCACCCGTAGTGTTACATGTATCAAAAAAAAAAATCGCTTAAAATTCATTATTTATTTATTTGGATCGGAATTTGGGTTTATTTCTTAAAGTAATATTGTTAGTTATTGTCAAGTTTTTTTTTTTTTTTTTTTAGATAAATTCATATTTTGAATTAAAATAATGATTTCATAATGACCTACGGAGTACAATTTTAATTAAGAACGGACAAGATAGTGATATAACCTATTATATATACAAATACTTATTCAAAAAAACAAAAATAAAGACAAATAAGTTTTTGATTGGGATTGAGACAATTATGGATTTATAGAAAGGAGGGTGTTGTACGTAAGGGGAAAGGAACAATTTTCTTTTTTCAAACAAAAATTAAAATATAGATTTCATAAGTTATGTATAATTATAGAGAGGGCATCTCTAATGAAAAATCTACATCTCTCAAAATTCTTGTTCTTAAGCAAAAGCTTTGTATTGGTATTTGGTAAGAGTTATTCATCCACTACTTATTTAGTTATTTACTATGTACTCAATTTAAATCAACAAAACCTTTTTTTATCTTTTTTTTTTTTTTTTTAATTTTATCTTCTTTTATTTCCACTAAAATTAATAAACTATTCACAAACTGCAATACCTTAGAATTCTCATCTAACATCCCATTTCCAAATGAAATAAGACTTTTTTTTTTAACAGAAACATTTAAAAATGTTTCTTCATCCCTAAATTATTGTTCTATTAATTAGGTTGGGACACATATAGAGGTAAATGGTATAATGGTGTTATTATTATTATTATTATTATTATTATTATTATTATTATTATTATTATTATTATTATTATTATTATTATTATTATTATTATTATTTATTTATTTATTTTTTTTTTTTTTGTGGATAATGTAAAAGTAATGAGTAAATTAAAAATTGAATGATCGAGTAATATTTAGGGCCTGTTCTCTTATGTTGAAATTCAATTCAGTTCAGTTCAGTTCAGCTCAGCTCCTAATTTCCTTCTCTTATAAAATATTCAGTTCAGTTTAGTTCAGTTCATTTCATTTCAGTTCAGCTCAATTCAGTTCAGTTTAGCCGAATTCAGTCAATGAGAACAAGCCCTTAGCTGAACACCCTATGCCACATAAATTTAGATAAATAGAGAATGAAAGTGAGTTAACTAGTGATAGGACCCCGTCAATTAAGTTGAATGAGTTGAATAGGTTATGAGCTGAGAAAAATAATTTTACATTTAAAAATCAATCAAATTAAAATAGTATACAGGACAATTATTTGATCCCAAATAGAGTATGTTCTATTAAAAAAATATATAGTCACAATCAATTGCATAAGTAATTTTAGAAAAGAAATGAAAATAATTAGGCATCATGTTAAGTAGAATAATAATGATATAACATGATTATTCCAAGTTCTAGTGTTGAAAGAAATCATGATGATTCTTTCCTAATCAAACTCGTAACCAGTTGTACCACCATGGCCCATAGTGTCCAAAATTATTGCTAGGCAGAAAACGACTATAATTTTGGCACATCATCATATAAAAACAACGCCCACTCAATAAAAATCACTCTAATAATTGCTTTTTAGACCCACCACAAATATATATAGTACTCCCCAAATTAATTTACGGTTTCGTTTCGTTATATACAGTTTTTAGTCATCGTTGTATACAGTTTAAAGACTAATTATAAGCATTAATTTTACAATCGTACACCATTATTATTGTAATCAATAATACATTGAACAGTCTTCATAATGTTTATAAATATGTCTATTTATTATTTTTCTTTTTGGAGAAAGTATTGATGCTTCTACTTATTTAATTTTTTTTTTAAAATATATTTACTCATTAGAAATTCTTTATTTTTACATAAATAAAATTGATATTTTTTTATACAAAAAGTGTAGAATACAACTCGACCACATGAAAATCCTAGCGAATAAATTTTGATCTGGCTTACTAAATCCAAATTCAAAAGTATAATAATATAAATATTCTTTTTTTTTTTTAATAATAATGGCCAACAAATTTAATTACAAGTATTTTTTTTTCATATTTTATTGCAAGGAATCTATAGCGGACCAATCGTAAACATTGCATAGTTTGGCCGAAAACCAATGGAATAATAATATGAGAAGAATCCTTTGTTTGAAAAAAAATAAATAAATAAAATTATGAGAAGAATCCACTGTCTTTTACCCTTTTAGACTTCTTTTTATTACAAGTAAATTCCTCAATTATCTAAATCACAACCATGTATCATCTATTGGTTAAATAAATTAAAGGCCAGGGGCCGTAAACTAACAAGTCATAATTAAAAATCAAATCTCGTCTACATCAGTATTCTTTCATCAACACTAAAACGTCAATCATCAATGTTTGCTATTTAAAAAAATCAATCATCAATGAAATAAAGTAGAAAAAAGAAGAAAATAATAGATTGCACAACATACCTATACATGTAGATATCACGGCCGGGAGCGAGGCGGCGGCTACAAAGGCAGCAAGTTCTAAGGAAGGTATTGTTAGTAGGAGAGTTGGAAGATTGGAGAGCGAAATCAGCAGAGTTACGCCTATGGATCCCTCTAGGAGAAACAAAACCCATAACTTTATGAAGGTGTTGAGTGTTATAAGGATGATCAACCCCGTCACGGGGTTGATCGGATGACGAGGATGGTGGAGGAGGATGAGGATGAGGATGGATGATGGAGAGATCGTCGTAAGAGAACTCCGTCATACTGGTGGTTCTCTTCATAGGGTGGCGACGAGCTCTCTTACCCAATAACATCTTGGTTGTCGTTGACAAGTCGATGTCGTCGTCGATCTCGGGAGGGAGGGAGGATGGAGGGAGGAGTAGAAGGGGAGGGAGTGAGGGAGGATAAAAGGAGTATGGAGTGGAAAATACTAATAAGAGCAAGAAATGAGGAGGGAATCTTGGCCGTTGGTTGAGCTTTTAGGAATTGGAAGGATGGTGGAGAGTGAGAATCAAGTGTATGAGTGGGTTGCTTCCTTTTTATGGTATTATTATTATCATTATTATTAATTTATTATTAATATTTCTTTCTTTATTTTTTTAATAAGTGCAATACATTTCATTAGTCTGCCTTTTTAAATACAACTGATTAGAAGAGGTAAATGAATTCGTAGTTTCTTTGTTATCGATAAAAGAGCATTGAGTTGTTAATTTGTTATGGATGTTGAACTTATTATGTTATTGCAAATTTAATTTGTCTGTTTATCACAATTTTTAGTAGTTTCTTTATTATCGATAAAAGAGGCATTGTGTTGTTATGGATGTTGAACTTATTATGTTATTACTAATTTAATTTATTTGTTTTTCACAAATTTTTATGTGATTGGCCAGACGTTGTGGCCGGGGTTACTTGATCAGGGATTATGTGATTTAGGTTACTGAATTGGTTAAGGATTACATGATTAATGTTTTGGTATGTGTCAACTTGTTGTAAGATATGAGTAATTACGCCAAAAAAGTACCGCTATGTGTCGCACACATATGTTATCTTTATAAAAGAAGGAAATACAAGTACTCCGTATAATAATTGTATAATGTATATAAAGAGTTTGTCTTACTCCGTATTAATGTGATATGGAGAGGTGGGGACAATATAATGCAGCCAAAGAATAGCTGTAGTAGGAGAGGTGAGTTTAATATTCTAGTGAAGTGTACTATGACTTTATGAGAAGCGCAGTAATTTGAGATGCTATCTGATCATGTATGTGTGTATTTTTGTACCCTTTTATCTCCTGAGAATCTTACAACTATTTCTTCTTCTAAATTCACTGTTTCTGTTGTACTACTTGGACGCAATTTTCATTCAGTCCAATGCAATCTTTACCAAGTACTCACTCTATCTTTATAGACACACTCACTTTGTTAAATATTCCGTATTTTGTAACTACAATAACTAAGTCGAACACAAAAGAACAAAAGGAGTATTTCATATTTGTTTAGACCCGTCTTTAGTATAAGTATAACGCTCAATTAAATTCGTATAAAAATAAAAGGTGTGTAAAATTAAGGGAATAGAGGTATAATCTTACGATATCATTACACGGTTATACCCTTTCTCAATCCTTAACTACAAGTACTCACGCTAGAGGTAGTGGTTTGAGAGATTTTCTCAAACGTTAGATAAACCAACATTTCCTCCAAAAAAGTAGCGGTGCAAACTCTATAATATTCTGACTTCTCATTCATTACGTCCAACAACTTTTCAAATATTCATGTTTTTTTTGGTTTGTCTCACTTTTCTTTATACGATATTTTCAAAAGAATGTCTCATACCCACATTAGAAGCAAATCTAAGTTATTATCACTATTCAATTTAAAATTATATTAAATTACCCTTTAATCAGGTCTAATCTAGTCGATTAGGTCATTGTATAACACCTCTAATCAATACGCTCAAAATCACTATACATGATCCTGTAAATTAACAAAACTTTTATAGTCGGAGCGAGAGAGTTTTATACTCGTGCATTAAAGCAAGTTGAGCGAATTTAGCTAAATCACACGCATGTGAAGCCATGTATCAGTGTTACAATAAGCCGCATTTGTAGAAAGTCCTTGGGTCCTCTGTAGGGATGTAGGACTCGGCTACTCGTGCAAACCTATCACAACAATATATTAATTGCAACTAGAATTTAATCAATGTTTTTTTAATTTTAATTTAATTTAATTTTTATTTATTATTATTATTTTTTTTAGTAATTTCAAGTATGAATGAATAGATCTTTAATTATTTTTTGGGAAAATATAGAGGGTGAGGATCCCAAAATATGGCAAAAGGACTCCAAATTATCGAGGGCTTACTAGCTTAGGTAGGATTTTGGGCAAATGGAAAGGGGTTGTACCACTAAAATATATTATTATCCTCAATTCTTTTTCATTGTCTTGTTTCAGTTTATGTACAATTTTCCAGTGTCAATTGTATTTTAACAAACTATGGGTGTGGGGTTCGGGTTAGGTCATGTCGGATTATGCATCATTTGATTGATTTTGGGTTAGGTCAAGTTTAGGTTAGTTCAATTTGAATTTAAGCTACGTTGTCTAGGTTTTAATACGGGTTTGTAGCATATTATTTCAGGGTTGGAGTAGTTTTGGGTTGATTAGGTCATTATTGGCTTTGGATCAATTGTCAGATCGGGTTAAGTTTAGGTCGAGATAAATTTGAATTGTGTCATTTTTGAGCTCAACTGTAGTACATATCAAGTTTTAATTTTTTTTTATTTTTATTTTATTTTCTTTTGAAAAGAAGAAAAGAATTTCATTGATGAATGATAGCCAAACAGACTTACAAACAATTCCGAGGAAATCTAAAATTCCAACACAAATACAATTTACCTTAGAACTAGTTACATCGCAGATTCGATCAACGATCGCGTTTATAAAAAATCTTCATCCGAAGCAATATAATCTGTGAGTTAGCACTAAATCGGCTTGAGATCCACAGATGAATAGTTGCTTGGGTGAAAAAACTCATATGACCTTCTAGATACTTTTGGAGATTGTGAAACCCTATATCTTCAATCGATCTTGACAGATAAGCAAACAAATAAATTAAACCTAATAGAATAAACACCACCATAAAGATGTGATACTTTGTTGAAATTAATTAAAAAGTTTTTGGGACTTATCACTGGTAAAAACACCGGTGGAAGCCCTTACAAAAATTTACAATTGAGACCAGAAGAAAAAAGATGGAAGAAAAAGTGTTGAAGCTTAAAGGTTTTGATGATGATGAACTTAAACTAAAGCAAACTCAACTCAAAAAGGTTTATAAGTGTTTGATTAGTACAGGTGAAGTTGACCTTGGAGGTGAAAGAGTAACTTAGGCTATGAAGACATGAAGAGACCTTTGAAGAAAAGTCAAACAATATAGAAGAAGAGTTCTCTAACAAGAATTGAGTTCCTTAACAGGAATGTTCCCTAACAGGAACTTGGAGGATGCAAGCTGAAGACAGTAAGTTCTGGAAGGTGTACACATCTACTTTTGGCCTCCTGTCCCGACAGGAAGTGCAATGACGATAAATAAAGCCATCTTCGTGTTGGATCAATGTGAAGAATACTTATGGATAACTGGTTAAGCCACAAAACACAAAAGACTAGCCCAAATTAAAGAAAAGCCAAAACAAAGGTCCAATTAACTAAACCCGATCATAATTAGGCTTAAGCCCGTGCTTAATCCCTAATAATGATGGATTTTGGAGCGCCTAGGTTAAAACTTAGTGCTGCCGCAAAAAAAGCCGCGCGCATCTCACGAAGTCGCGCTGGGCTGCCGCGCGCAACTAATTCAGTCGTGTGCAATGCCCAGCGTAACTTGCGCTTGGATGCCGCACACAACTTCATCTGTTGCGCACGACACCTGCTGCAGAAGAATGTTTGAAAACCTAAACCTAATCCTTCTCTATAAATATGAGCTTAAACCGAGGCTTCAACCGACATAAATTAACCTAAAAACTCTGGCAAAATAACTTGTGAACTTGTGCAACCTAGCCCTCTTGTCCTAAATAATCACCCTTTCGATACTTTGTTACTATGGTGGAGGTTCCCCAACAAGAAGGTGTCCATAAGTGTTCTAAACGGAGATCTAGCAAAGAGAAGTGGTAAATTCCCAAGCACTTAGTGAAATCACCTTTATTTTCTTGTTTATAAGGACTTTAATTAATTAATTAGTGTTATTTGATCACTTTTAAAATAATTAATTAATCAATTCCACATAGTATCTTGCGTTAAATAAAGACTAGAATTGAATTAAATAATTATTGGTTGATCACCTAAGACAAGGCGAATCTTGTTTATTGTTCTTCCACGAATTTTATTAAATAAGAATAACGACTTTGCAATGTAATTCTACGTGAATTAATGTTTGTAAATAAAATCAACTAACATAGTTTTAGGTATCGCGTTGCATATATTGTTTGGTGATGAAATTGTGAAAAGGAAGATCTAGTAGAGGCCGTAGTAGGGCTAGGATGACGATTCCCCTCTAAAAGGAACGTTATCTTAGTACTCTCGATCCCGAACTCATTTCTGGTTCATAGACCAATTTGGGCATGGGTAAACTTATAATTTGTGCTAATTATTCCATGAAATCCACATGGAAGAAAGGCATGAACGAAGTTTATGAGTTTTTCCTAAAACTCCTAAAACTCATTGGCGACTCCTACTTGTTTCTTATAAAAAAGCGTGATGATAGAATCAATTCTAATTCAAGGTCTCCCAAACAGTTAGGAATTCAAATACTACTACACCTTAACAAGTGTAAAGTCCTAGGCTTTTAAGTGGCCAAGGACATTTAAGGAGAGTACCCCTTACGATGGGATCACCCTCCTTATGGTGGCGACTCCGCTGGGGACTTAGAGGTTACATGATTAATTCGTAGTTATGGTCCAAGGTATCCAACACTAGGTTGCCTATGGGTTGTAACGAGAATTAACTTGGATAATCTCTAGTTAGAGAGCGAGACTTGAACGCATAATATCTTCCTTTTGCACAAAAGTAAAAACCAAACAAGCAACATTGCATCATGCATAAGCAGAGCACACTTAAACCATTGGGTATTGGCTCATTGACTAGGGATCGCCAACACTAGGCGTCTATCCCAAAATCAATAACAATCATCCCACCCATATCACCAACAAAATGTTGGGAGGGCGATGTCATGGGTCAACACGTTGAGTGATTGATTTATGCATCGTTTCTTAAGGTATGGTACCTTTGGACACCCAAGCCTTTTTTGACCTTAGAATGGCATTACGTGAATCTTGACTTATAACATGCTTATGTGATTATGTGACTATGTGCAACGTGTTAGGATAGTCTTCTTCTTCTTTTTTTTTTTAGTTTGGTCTAGGTTCCTAATTACGAAGTTGTCTCTTCGTGATTTAGCGTCATATTCAAAGGATAACATAAAAAAAAGGGTAAAATAAAAAAAAAATCGATAAAAAAAACGCTCAAATTAAAAAAATAATACGAGCAGGTGGCGCGCGCAACTCAAGAAGTTGCGCGACCCCTCCCAGCGAAAGTTATTTTGTTGTGCGCGATAGCCGCGCGCAACTTAGTAACTTGCGTGCTCCCACTAGACGAGTCAGTTTTGATTTCTCAAAAAACAAATTGACTCGTCCGAACAATATCT